CTACTGTCACCCAACCTATACGGGGGCCGAGCCACAGATATCACACTACACCACACCGACCAATGATATCACACATTGTCACGCAACCTATACAACCACCATCTATCACACTATACCAGACCATACAGATGAGTCACACGGGAGCGGCCGGGACCGCGCCCTTGTGGTCGGTGCTGTTTTCCTTCCGTCAGTTTCTCTATTTTCGAGCGTCATGGCTGTGGCGCGGATCTCCAAATCTGACTTTACATTTGTGACACATCTATCACGACTGTTTTCTACTCCGTCTTACCTATCACATACCACACGCTGTACTTACACATTTCTCATGTTTCCCGTCCGTGTCTGCGCCATGGGTCACCATTATACGCAACCACAGCTGATCACACTAATGTCAACCACTATACAACGCAGCATCTATCAGCAGCTTATAGCAACGCCCACGAATATCACACTATGTCAGGCCGCAACTACAACGGCACCAGCTGTCAGCACTATGTCACGCGCAACTATAGCAACCACATCTATCCCAGCACTATGTCACCATTATACAAAACCAACAGATATCACACTATGTCACCAACGTATACAAGCCACAGATATGCAGGCACTATGCGTACCGGCAGCTATACAAGCGCACAGATCATCAAACTATGTCAGCCAACTATACAACCCACATCCTATCCGACACTGTCACCAACTATAACAACGCACAGGCTGTCACACTATGTTCACCAACTATGACAACCACATCTATGCAACAAGCCACTATGTCACCATTATACCAACCAGCAGATGATCACACTATGGGTCGACCAAACTAATACAAACCACAGAATATCACATATGTCGAGCCAACTATACAACCAGGCAGATATCACGGAGCACACTATGGTCACCAACTAAGGCGCCGGCGTTTTGGGTGCATAACAAGCCATTTCGATATCCACACTCCATGCACCAACTATACAAAGCACAGATGATCACACCTCTGTCTCCACATACTGACGAACCACAGCCTGTCAAGCACTATGTCACCACTATACACCACACAGATATCGCACTATGTCAGCCGCAACTATAGCAAACCACGAAGATATCACACTATGTCACCAACTATACAACCACAGATATCACACTATGTCACCAACTATACAACCACAGAGTGATCAGGCACTAGTCAAGCCACAGATATCACAACTATGTCAGCAACTATGCAACCACAGCTGTCACACTAATGTCACCAACTAGGTACACCATCATCTATCACAGCTATACAACCACAGAAATCACACTATGTCACCAACTATACAACCCACAGCTGTCACACTATGTCACCAACTATACAACACAGATATCACACTATGTCAAACTATACAACCACCAAGATAATCACACTATGTACCATTATACAACCGACAAGATTCACACTATGTCACGCGAACATATAACAACCACACGATATCGACAAGCTATGTCACCCAACTATACACACCAGCAGATATCCACGCTCCTGTCACCAACTATACAACCACATCTATCACACTATGTCACCAACTATACAACCACAGCTGTCACACTATGTCACCAACTATACAACCACAGATATCACACTATGTCACCACTAATGGCAACCCACAGCTTGTCAGCAGCTATGTCACCAAACTGATACAACCACATCTATCACACTATGTCAGGCCAACATACAACGCCACAGCTGTTCACACTAATATGTCAACCACCTAATGCCCAACCACAGCTGTCACCACTCATATGTCCACAACTATACAACGCACAGAGTATCAGCACTCATGTCACCACTATACAACCACAGATATCACACTATGTCACCAACTATACAACCACAGATATCACACTGTCACCAACTATACAACCACATCTATCACACTATGTCACCAACTATACAACCACAGATATCACACTATGTCACCAACTATACAACCACAGGATATCGCCACTATGTCAAGCCAACTATACAGACCACAGATATCACACTAATGTCACCAACTACATCGCACCACAGAGCTGTCACACTATGTCACCAAACTATACAAGCCACAGAATCGCAACTAATGTCAGCCCCACTATAGCCAACTCACAGATAGTCACCACTGATGTCCACCAACTATAGACTAATCACATCTATCACACTGTCCACCAACTAACTACAACCACATCTGTCACACTATGTCACCACTCTGTCGTGTGATGTCTCGCAGGTCACCGGCTGACCGCTGACGAGATGGAAACGGTGCTGGACATCAATCGCGTGCTCATCCGCAGCGTCAGCGTCCCGATGGCCGGCGCGTGGCAGGTGGTGGTCAGCGCCGACGGACCACACACGATGCGCCTCAGCGGCCTGAGCGGTCTCTCGTTCAGCCATGGCTTCTCTCAGCATTCCACGCTGGACATCAACGAAACGTCGATCATGCCCGTGCAGGGTGAGATACAATCGCAGGGCTGAATGACGAGAAAATAATTTGTCATCGTTAAAATCTGTCATAATTAGTTTAGATAATTAATTTTAATTAATTTAATTTGTCGTAATTAAAATCTGTCATAGTTAATTTAGATAATTAATTTTAATTAATTTAATTTGTCGTAATTAAAATCTGTCATAGTTAATTTAGATAATTAATTTTAATTAATTTAATTTGTCGTAATTAATTTCGTCGTTTTCGCCGTCATCATCATCATCGTTATCGTCGTGTTTATCGTTGTTGCGTCGTGTTGTCGTTTTCGTCGTCATCATCATCATCGTCGTCATTTTTGTCGCATTCACCATCGTCACTGTTGTCATCGTCAACCTCGTAATCATTACCGTCGTTAATCATCGTCGTCATCACTGTCATCTTCATCATCATCATCATCGTCGTCATCATCATCATCATCATCATCATCATCATCATCGTCGTCGTCGTCGTCATTATCTTCATCATCATCATCATCATCATCATCGTCATCATCATCATCATCGTCATCGTCATCGTTAATTAGTATCGTCGCTCCATGTCCACAGGTGTGCAGCAGTACGTCATCGTCAACGTGACCGGCCTTGAGGGTCCCGGTCACCTCACCAAGGTCGCGCTAGTTGACCTTGAAGGTAGGGTCATACAGCAGATGCCTGTGACGTCGCCGGCACCGGATCTACCGTACCTGTACAATGTGTCTGCCTTCCTGCCACCTGACGAATTCTTCTACCTGAAGGTACGAGTTTCGCCGTCATATTAATATAATAATAATAATATATTATTATAGTTATACCCTCGTGTCATTGTTTTACCCGGGTCTCTCTCTCTCTCTTTCTCTGGCGCACTCTCTCTCTGTCTTCTCGCTCTTTTCTCTCTTCTATCTCTCTCTCTCTCTCTCTCTCTCTCTCTCTCTCTCTCTCTCTCTCTCTCTCGCGCACTCTCTCTCTCTCTCTCTGTCTCTCGGCTCTTTTCTCTCTTTCTCTCTCTGTCTCTCGGCTCTTTTCTCTCTTTCTCTCTCTCTCTCTCTCACTTTGTCTGCCTCTTTCCTTTTCTCTCTCTCTCTCTCCCCTCTCTCTCTCTCTCACTGTCTGTCTCTTTCTACTATCTATGTATGTCTGTATCTTTCTATCTATCTATCTATCTATCTATCTATCTATCTATCTATCTATCTATCTATCTATCTATCTATCTATATCTATACTATCTATCTATCTATCTATCTAATCTATCTATCTATCTATCTATCTATCTATCTATCTCTCTATCTATCTATCTATATATATATATATATCACACCTCATCCTACGTGTTGACCTGTTCTTACAGATCGAGGGCATTGATCAGTCAAACTACACATTCTCGCGCACGACGGCCACCGCCATCCAGCCGCAGTGCCGACGGCTCCCAAGGTCACCATGCCGCGCGCGCGTGCCGCCGTCACCACGAGGGGCGGTGACCTTGAAATGCTTCGTCATCTCTGCCGTGCCGTTCCGCGTCAAGTGTTCAAGAACAACAAGCCGATCAGTTCCGAGATGAAGTTCCTGTAAGGTTCCGCACGCTGCAGCTGCTGCTGTGCAATTTTGTTGGTTGAAGTATTTAATTAAAATATCGATAAAAATATGAAAAATTAATGCATGTAGTATATATATATATATATAGTGTATAATTAAATCTTTATAATTATATTTTATATTAAAATTTAATTTTTTTATTTTATATTGTCAATATTATCAGTAGGTTCGGTAGTAGCTATAATTATATGATTTTAGTAATCAATACTTTTTCATAACCCCATAACTGATACTAATTCGTGAATTTTACTAAGCCCTTATACGTGTCTTTCTATACACTGATGATTTATACTTGCATTATATAATATGGAGTCTCTATGCAGAGCTAAGCCTTCCGGCAGAACTTTGAAATGGGAAGTTTAACTCCAACGTGCTACGACGTCATGCTACGACATGACTTCGTGTACGTGTACGTGTACGTGTACGTGTACGTGTGTACGCGTGTACGTGTGTACGTGTACGTGTGTACGTTGTACGTGTCGCGTGGCGCGTGTGCGTGTGCGTGTACGTGTGTACGTGTACATGTACCTGTACATGTTATGTGTACGTGTACGTGAGAGCGCGTGTGCAGTGGTTTCTTCTGAGGGAGAATTAGACCAAGGAGGTAATGGCCAGTTTGGGGAAAAAACGCGCATGATGGATTCAAAGGCGTAGGCGTAGGACCCCGCGTCACGTGACTCAGTAAACGACATGGCAATCTAAATTAAATTAAATTAAATTAATGAATTAATAAATTTTTTTTAGCAATCTATTTTGACAACGGTGGTAATTACAGAAACATTTTCACAACGGCGATCATGTTAAATTTTGACAACGGCGGTGCGCCACTGTGCCTCTTATGTATAAGAATCCTGCTTATATGGTGTGTGTTGCGTGTTGCAGGGCTAATACAGAGGTAACGTGGACGCTGGATGCTGTGGGAGAGCAGGATGAGGGAACGTACTCCTGCAAAGCCATCAGTGATGCTGGTGCCGGCAGCGCTAACAGTGCGCTAATACTGAAAGGTAGAGGGGAGGGATGGGAGAAGGGCGGAGAATGTGGGCGAGTGAAAGAGAGAAAGAGAGATAGGGAGAGGGAGAGAGCGAGAGAGAGAGAGAGAGAGAGAGAGGAGAGACGCGAGAGGGAGAGAGAGAGGAAGAGGGAGAGAGGGAGAGAGAGAGAGAAGCGCATGAGAGAGCAAGAGACAGAGTGGAGAGAAATAGAAGAGCGAGTGAGAGAGCGAGAGAGAGAGAGAGAGAGGAGGAGAGAGAGAGAGAGAGAGAGAGGAGATGAGAGAGAGAGAGAGAGAGCAGAGAGAGAGAGAGAGAGAGTGAAAGAGAAAGTGAGTGAGAGAGAGAGAGAGAGTGCGCGCGAGAGCGAAGAGCGAGATACAGAGAGAGAAAGAGAGAGGGGTAGATAAGAGAGAGGAGGAGGGAGAGGCAATGGAGAGGGTAGAGAGACTATATCTGTAGTATGTGTCTATATATGTATCCTATTTGTCCTAGTTTCTATGAGTTAAACCAACCAGTATATGCGATAATCTGTTTAACCGTCGGCATTCTGTGTCCGTAATATCATTACTCTCTCTCATATCTCTACTACACATTTGCATTACTCCTCACTCATATCTCTACTACACATTTGCATTACTCCTCACTCATATCTCTACTACACATTTGCATTACTCCTCTCTCATATCTCTACTACACATTTGTAATTGCCTCCCCTCCCCATAGCGCATGCTCCACGCATACAGCGACCAATCAACGCTACGGCAAAGACTGGTACCAACGTCATGTTGGACTGTGACGTCAGTAGCGCTGTCCCGTATAACGTCACGTGGTACCGACAGGGAGCGCAGGACCCAATCAGATCGTGAGTGTGGGAAGCCTCTCTAGCTGTTAGCAGTACATTAATTGTTGTTGCTTGCAAATTAGCACTTGATTATTTAATTACGTCACGATCAGCTGTGTTTGCAAACCCGCTCATTACGAGAGTGAAAACGCGTGCTTTATTAGAGTCCTATAGGCTTCAACATGCAATATAATATTTTATATTTGTTAAATAATAAAATATAAGTAAATAAATAAATAAATAATAATAATATTATTATTATTAATATTAATATTAATAATTATAATATTGTTATTATTATTACTATTATTATGTAAAATGCGTCGTAATATACCGTGCAACGTTTAGTTGTGTAACGCGTCTGTCTCTTGTTTTCGTCGTCGGCGTGGTGGATGGTTGCTGTAAGCAGTAGTCACCGTGTCATCAACCATGGCAACGGTTCCATGGAGCTGCTTCACGCCAGCAGGAGGGACGAGGGAAACTACGTCTGTCGCGCCGAGAACGAGGGCGGGGTCGCACAGGCGAAATTCTACCTCCAGATACAAGGTCGACTAACCATAGGGTTATTTATTAAGTTTATATTTATATTAAGTAATTAATATAAGTGTATTAGTATAATCTACTAATATACAACTATAACAATAAATAACCCTTAATAAAACTTAATAATAAAAATGTACATATGTATATACATATACATATGTACATGTACATGTATATACATATGTATATAGTAAATATGTAAGTATGTAAATATATATTATATTAAGTACATATTTATTATTAAGTTTTATTAAGAGATATTTATTGCGTGAGGATGGAGGTGTTAATTAACATGCATCCATTTCTATGAGATATAAAATTCTATAAAACTTAAAATTAGTAGTATTGTTAATTATTTGACAAGTTGCCATGTGTTAGGAAACTGACAGAGTTTATTCTGTGTTATTTTGCCGCAGGAGACTTGAATGCGGGTAAGATTGCAACTAGACTGTTTCTATCATCTTTTCTTTACACATCTAGGGCAATATATGCAACAATGTGTCGTTATATAAACTGGTTGCTGTTTCGTAGAGTTACATGTGTTAATTTAGTTCAAACATTAATTAGTAGAAAAATAGCGCACTCTTTTTACCACACGTAAAGACTGAGGGGGCTAGAATATTGCTGTTATTATAGGGCCAATTACTTTGTTATTAATTAATACTTCTCAATGTTTAATCACCTTTTCTATGATGGACATTTTGGAAGTGCCTCTCATTATAACCTTTTATTATTTCTCATTTTTTTATGATTTATTATTTATTTCATTATTTCTTTCCTTGTAGAGCTACCAAAAGTGACGATCAGTCCATCCGAGCAGAGTTACAGAGAGGGAGACACGCTGGATCTCACATGTCTGGTGTACGGCATCCCTACACCTACCTCCTACTGGACCAACTCATCCGTACGTCTGCTGCGTAATACAGTGGCGTAGCTAGGATTTTTTCAGCAGGGGACACTGGGGGGCCTTACATTTTTGTGGGGGGGGGGGCACAATATATAACTTTTCTTTGTTTTTTATCAAGCATGAATTTTCAGTGGGGGGCACCTGGGGGGGCACAGCAAATTTGCATGTACACCCCCCCCCCGTAGCTACGCCCGCTGGCGTAAATAGTTTACTAGCTGTGCGGCTATTTAACATAGAGGGGGAAGTGTACAGAGCAAGAAAGAAAGTGTGGAAGGAGGTAAATGGCTAAATATATATATATATATATATATATTATATATATAAAGAGAAAGAGAGAGAGAGAGAGAGAGAGAAGAGAGAGAGAGATAGATAGATAGATAGATAGATAGATAGATAGATATAAAAGATAGATAGATAGATAGATAAGAGAAGCTGTCGAGAGAGAAAGAAGAGAAAAAGAGAAGAGAGAGAGCGAGACGCAAGAGCATGCTATCATATATCTTTACATATTTTTGCACATTTATATTTATTTATATGTTCAGGATGACAGGCGGCTAACTCAACGACCGGTATGATAGTGAACAGCGGTACGCTCGTCATTCTGGATGCTAAGAAGAGGATGCGGGCATCTACCACTGTGGTGGGGAAAAATGAAGCAGGCATCGATACAAAGCCGGCACTGCTCAAGTTCATTGGTAGCATCAGGAGTGCCATCAATAGATAGTCTATCATTTGATAGACTCCTGTTACTATCAAGAGCTAATAGTACCTAGAGTGTACAACGGAAAACGGGAAAATAGTGCTTTTCACGACAACATTATTCTACTTTGCCTTGCGAGTCTAGAAGGTATTATTAGCTCCTGTTACTAATCTATGTCATATTCATTCAGCTGTGTTACAGTTCACTGAATGTACGACGCTGTTGACAACTGTTGGGGCGGCTTCGTATGTTTGCAATATTGGCTATGATTATAGATATATGCCTAATAAGTATACTTATTATCGCCGCCTCATAGAGGGCGGTACAAGCGCCCCCTATCGTTGGTTGAAGCCAGCAACATGTCGCGAATTTATTCACCATAGAGGTCGCTGATGATCCATCGTCTCACTCACATTAAATGAGGTTTGCCGCCACCTCGAAAAATGCTGGGCCTATTAACCAATGTCCTGATTGCAATGAAAATTCTAGGTTTAACATCTAAGTTAGAGCACGACCTCTACTCTTACTGTTAGCTGTTCTTTGACTTTTCTTTTCGTCGACTTGTGTCACCACTAGATGGTCGTAAGATGCCAGGTTGTACGCTCTTCGGTAATATTCCCTCTTGTAACGCGATTTAAAGCATCAACAGGTGGAGATAAAAATCATCGGTCTTCGTACGTGAAATAAGGTGAAAAAATGAATGTTTGAATAAATAGTTTACATTCAATCTTGTAAACCGTAATCCCAACGTGGATAACTTATGAAGCAATGTCACAGCTATCATTCCACAGATTATAATCAGTACAAACTAACAGAACACAATTCGAATCTCTCTACAAAAGCTTGTACGCGATATGCTTTCTATTCACAATGGACGTTTAGATTAACATCGCGATGTTTTCTTACTATCCTAATACGTATCATATTGATGGACATTAATATCTATTATTAGGGTGATGTTTGTTACAAAATCAGCTTTTGAAACAATGTTAGCCCCTTACCGAGGAATATACGCTATAACACTGGATTATATGATATCAGGAGTAAGATAATATAGGATATATCCTATATGATATATGATATATGATATATTGATATGATATATGATATATATCCTATATTATCTTACTCCTGATGATATGAGTATGGACTGCGTATTTTACCGTATAAATATATTTTATCGTAATTTATCGTCTCATCTGATCGTATGTATATCGACGTGTATGTCTAACCGCGTTGGTCGATTTGATTTTCTTGCGTCACAGAGAGCCAACAATCGACATACCACAGAGATTGGTGCACACGGCCCTGAGGCGGGAGGACGACTGCGATGTGACGTCACCCCAGGGCGTGCCCCTCCCACCGTTGCGGGAATGGTAAGTTGTGTGTGTGTGTGTTGTTGCCCGCTGGTGTCGCGCCGTGGCGTGCGTGGCCCGTGTGTTGAGTCGTGCGCGGCTATGACGTGTATGTATATGTAAGTGTGTGCGTGCAGTGAGTGCGTTGTGCGTGTGGATGTTGTCCAATTAAATACAAGAACAATTATGCTGATATACATCAGCCTGAACATTTTATTTGATAGCTAACTGTTAGCAAAAGCACATCAGAACAATCTATCAAGTCGTACACTGCGGCACATGTTATCCTGCCTTGTCTTGCATTATTACTCCACGTCTGAACTCCTACATGGAGTCTTATTATCAGTACTAATGTCATCTATAGTTACATTCTCTCGTG